ATTATATTGGCTTACAAACCAGGTTCCTCAACAAGACTCCTAAAAGTACAAGAAGTAAAATCAAGAATCAATAAATGGGATGACACCAAACTAAAAAGCTTCTTTACAATAAAGGAAACAATCAAGAATGTGAAGAGTGAGCCTACAGAATGGGAGAAAAATCTTTACCACCTGCACCTCAGATAGAGCATTAATCTCTATCTGAACATATAAGGAACTCAAAAAAACTTAACTCCAAAAAAACCCAAATAACTCCATCAGTAATGGGCAAAGGAATTGAATAGGCACTTCACAGAAAAAGAAATACAATCAGTCAACAAATATATGAAAAAAAGTTCAGTATCACTAGCAATTAGAGAAATGCAAATTAAAATTATATTGAGAGTCCATTTTACTTAGTCAATAGTGAAATGGCAATTATCAAGAATACAAGCAACAATAATTATTGGTGAGAATGTGAAAAAAAGGGTACACTCGTATATTGCTGGTGCACTTTGGTGCAGCCTCTCTGGGAAACAGTAAGGGGTTCCTCAAAAAACTAGGAATGGAACCACCATTTGACCTGTTTATACCACTCCTTGGTATATATCCAAAGGAGTTAAACCTACAATAACACATCAATGTTTATAGCAGCTCACATAAATATAGTTACTTCATACTAGATATAGAGCTAAGCTAGGTGCTAGGAACCAACCTAGGTGCCCTTCATAAATGTTCTCTCTGATATGTGGATGCTAACACACAACAAGGGGGGATGGAGAATAGAAGTTCAGTGGATTTGACAAAGGAGAATGCTGAGAAGGGTGGGAGATAGGAATAGGAAAGACAATGGAATGAATCAAACATAACTTTTTTATGTTCAGATCTGAATACATGACCAGTGTAACTCCACATCATGTACAACCACAAGAATGGGGTCCTAATTAGAATAAGTTATACTCAATGTATGAATAATATATCAAAGTACACACTACTGTCATATGTATCTAAAAAAAATTCAAAAGAAAGAAACCTAGAAATAAATAAATAAATAAATATCCTCTGGGAGTAAAGATCTTATGCCACTCTCCTATCTTCCCCAAGTGTTCTGTGTTCTGCAGAGTCCCCTCCAAAACCCAGAAGCTTGGAAGGAGCCTGGAAAGAAGATACTGTCTTCACTCCAGAAATGTTTCTGGGCTTCCCCTACTTTGGGGTGTTTGCTTTTTCCTAGATGAGGACTCTATTAGGGATCCTGTGTGTCAGGAGTCAGTATTGTGCACTGATTAAGACAGATTCAGCCAAACTGCAGGCATCAAAATGTAGCTGTACCATAGTCAGTTGCTCATTCTCTCCATTTCCTTAATGTGTTTCCTTACCTGAGAAATAGGGATAATAGTGCCTATTTTATAAAGTTGTTGTGAGAATTAAATGAATTATTACTGTAAGTAACATGATTGGAAAGGCCTGCATATAGTGAGTTCTATAAAAATATTTTTTGAAAATATAATTTGTCCCCCCACCCATGCCATTTGTCCTTAACGATAGAGTGGGTTTTCCTGCAAAAAAAAAAAAAAAAGTAAGTTAAATGTATATACATTGAATCTTGGTTATGTATAGTAATCATAGAGAAAATTGCTATCAGACTTATCCTTTTTATTTCTGTGTAAGGAAAGATAGTGGAATGAATCAAACATAACTTTTTAAAATGTTTTTTTTTCCCCCTTTTTCAGATTTTCTCTTTATTCCTTGTTTAAAACAATTCTATTACAAAACACCTTGGGTTTTTTCCATTGTGTTTCTTGTGCATAATCCATTGATCTTAATCTTGGATCTGTAAGTTTATAGTTTCCATTTTGGCCTTGATTTCTTCAAACATATTTGTCTTTATGTATCCTCATCACCCCTGCCGCCCCCATCTCTCTTCTCCTTTAGGGATTCCGCTTCCACAGTTTGCTGTTTAGAATTGTCTCATAGTTCACTTAGGCTGTTTGTCTATTTTTAGGGCTTTTCCTCCTCTGTTTCATTTTGAAGAGTTGCTATGACCAGGTCTTCATCACAATCTTCACATTTGGAACATCTAATCTGCTGTTAAACCATCCAATATGTTATTGTCACAAACGTTGGTGACTTCATCAGCTGGCCCCAAACCTGTTGTTCGGGTCTTTTCTCATTCCCTTTTACATGTCCACTGAACATCGTCAGCATTTCTTCTCGGTTTTTGTACAAAAACCATGTTAGGTGCTTTTGTCAAATGTTCGCTTCTGAATCAGTTTCAATTGATTGGTTTTTCTTCTCATTACGAGCTGTGTTTTCCTGCTACTTTTTGATTGGGAGATGTCTGATTTTGTGACTTTTATCTGATTGGGTGCTGGATATTATTACATTTCAAAAAATATTAACTCTGGTATACCCCGTTTCCTGGTGTTTACCCCAGGGTTCTGTTCCTCTCCCTGCCTTCCCTGACCACGCTGTCTGAGCTTCACTTGTTAATCTGTCTCTTACCCTGCTGTGCCGCTCTTCAGACCCTTATATGTGGGCATGGTGATATGTGTCCGTGTGCACGTGTGTGCACGTGTGTGCATGTGTGTGTGTGTGTGGGGGGGTCAGCCTCCCTACTACATAGGACAGGAGCTCCGTGAGGGCTTTGCTCTTGACTGTCCTCGTCACTGCTGATCCCAGAGCCTAGGACAACTCTCTGGCACATTTTAGTCCCTCAGAGAAGATCTGTTGAGTAAATAAATAAATACCAGATACTGTGCTGGGTGCCATTCAACACCATCCTGTGATGACACTGCCTTCTAAGGTAGTGACCTTAGAAGTCTGTCAAGAGAGCAAAGTGAGAAAGAGCTTTTTCTATGAAGCAGGGAGAATAGATGTTCGACAATCGGAACAACTAAAGAGAAAGGTCTGGTACAGATATTCAGGAAAATAGGGTTTATGAAAATGATTCCACTTTTTGCTTCTCTTGGCCATAGAAATCCTAGTTAACCAACTTCCTTTTAAAGATGTTTTCCCAGAATTTTTGAAGAAAAAAGTCTTAACAGTATTGGTATTCTGGATGTTTTTCCCACAGGCAACATGATAAAGCATTGAAGTTTATCATGTACTTTCCTTTGTGTTTGTATGCATCCTCCATCCCTCTGCCTCCACTGTGAACTTGGTGCTGGTGGAAAGGAATTGTGGAGCTTTGGTGTTGGAACCCTCTGATCAGGAGGAGGGGTGACCTTCCCTGGGGCAGCCATTTCAGTGTGTCTTGTAATTTCACCTTCAAGGAGGCACTTGAAGGGCTGACCTAGTGTGGAGAGCCTGGCTGAGTCTTCAACCTTCTCTCTGCTGTGTGGATTCTGTGACAAATGTGCCAATTAAAGTGGTGGCTTTGTGATGAAGCCTCAAGTAACGAGACCCAGAATGTATCTTCCTTTACTTCACATGGTTCAGCAGATGGAAACTACTTTCATTGCTACCACATTGTCCTGATTTAAATCAGGGTCCTGACACTGAAAAGGCAACTCTGCAGTCGATTAGCCAAGCCCCGAGTTAAAACTGTGTTGCTCTTGTTTGTGTTTCTCAGGGTGTTTTCCTGATTCTATTTCTGGCAGAGTCTTTGAAGAAGAATAGTTTTCTTTTGTGAATTAGTAAATGGAATTTTTTTTTTTAAAAAAAATAATGGATGTGTATCTGAGAGCTTGAAGTATATGCATGTGCTTTTTGAAGAAAATATTTTCATTAATTCACCAAAGAAAAGTATTTGTTTAGGAAGATTTCTTGAAAAAAATGTTAAGATAAAATATTCTTTAAATTGGTAAAAATTTCCCATGTATTTAAAAACAGGTTATGTAAACCAAATTGGCAACAGAATATTTTGCTTCTAGTTCAAGGAAGCAAAAAAAAAAAAATGCTTCATGTTTCATGACATAATTTCTGGCTTTCTAAAATAATCATATTTACATATAAGGCAGAAATATAGAACCATAGAGATCTATTTTTTGAATGAAAACGTGTGATTTGTATCTTACATGTTAAATTTGAATAGTTCTTATTTTTAGGCTTAAAATAAGTATGCTTTTAATATTCTTTAGTGCCATGTGATTTTAACTACAGCTTATTTTTCTTTCCAAAAGTCACTTAAAACAGGAAATGAGGCTTACCAAGTACTTGAACAATATTCTTTCATCTTGGTATTTACAAACTCTCACTTAGAAAAACAAGGCTCATGTGCAAACTCTTAGAATAACAGAGCACCTGCTCTTGAGTTCCTGCCAAGCATCCCTCCCCACTCAACCTGAACATTGTATTTTCATGAGCATTTCACAATATTTCTCATCCCTGTTCCCAGTCTTGACCCACTGACCCAAGAATCAAGAAAATGTCATGTTAGTGCCTACTAATTAGTGCACCCAGAGAGCCTTTTCATCTGGCCTTTCAACCTTCTGGAGGAAGGAGCACAAGCTGTCACTTGCATCATGCAGGGAAAATGAGCCTTTACTACATTTTCCCTGTTTTGCAAACAGCCGAATAAGCCCAGCTGAGCTAGAGATGAATATGCAGGTTAGGAAGAAATTAACCTAAAATGCACTAGTGTTTGCATGACAGTGTTACAGATGACACAGTACTGCTTTGTTGAAATACCCCAATGGACTTCCGCAAGCCTGAGTTTTTTAACCCGAGTATTGCTGTTGACTCACACTTTCATTTCAAAATTATCATAATCATCTGATGAAGTTATTTTAAAGTTATATAAAAATAAAACAGTTAAAAAATTGAGTAGCATTTCAATGCATGGAAGTTTCCCTTGTTTTAAGACGCATTTTTGGAGAATGCTATAGTTTGTTTGTGAGCATATTTCGTTTGAGTGCTCATTAATCAGTGCTGTTGGGCCAGGGTCTCCTGAGCCTTCTGGGTTTGGAGGGAATCAGCTACTGTAATTAAAGGGATGAAATATATCATGGTCACAAACTTACTGCATCAGACAATTGAGGGTTTTATACTAGTAGAATTAATCTCTTTAATTTTTTCCTTAGGTGTTTAAGATAGAAGTGCTAATGAATGGAAGAAAACATTTTGTTGAAAAAAGGTACAGCGAATTTCATGCCTTGCACAAAAAGGTAACCTTTGGTTTTTGTTCTTTGCCTCCTTTTCTCTATATGGCAGATGATATAATGTTAAGACTCCTTTCTGTGGTTCTAGGAGCACTAATATTTCTTGTGTATACATGGTTTCTATTATCATAATGTAAATTTCATTTTAAAATGGATTATTCAGTCTCTTAAAGGTATGCTTCCTGTGTAGATGGGGTTTCTCTTAGGATCATTTCCATATACAAATCTGAGGCTGCAAACCATTTGTAGTATACCACATTGGATGTTATAGCTTCTGAAAGAATAAGACCCAGACCCTGTTTTATCCATGAAATATACTTAATGTTCTGTGCAAAAGGGAAAAACAAAGTAAACCATCATTTTATGGAAAAATTTATTAAACTCAACTTATATGTACCTGGATAAGATAATATACATGTATATGCATTTTCAAGACTGGGGAGCACATGCAAAAGAGGATCATAGATCCTCACCTTCTTTTGAGTTGTAAAGGGCCACTATAAAAGACTGATGTTTCAGTTCTAGAATCTATTTCTCTAAAAGTCTTATATAAAGGAAACAGAATGTAAAAGCAATAACTGAGTTGTAGGGGAAAATGATCAGTAATGAACAGAAAAGTGAACAGTTTTTATCTTTTAACCAAATTTATTTTTTTTCAGGTTACAAATTATCATTGGGGTGCTGAAATTATCTTAATTAGAAATACCTTGTGAAATTGCTCAGAAAACTAACCATGCAATTTTACTATTTTTTCATATGTATAAGATATATATGTACATGTCAGTGTGTGTATATATATTTACCCACCCACATGGACTATATATATAAAATATATACATACACATACAATATGACATAATTCAGTCTCCTTATTGGTTAAGTGAGAAGTTAGATGATTAGATACTGAGTACATATTAAGAAAGAGAGTCATTTTTTAAAAAAAGATTTCATTAATGACCTCTTCAATTTTCTGGGACATATCATTGCATAAATAATTTGTGATGGTGTACTAACTCTGAATTTAAACTTTTTAAACATTTTTTTTTTCAAATTAAGTTTTCCCACTGTGTTTAATCAGAAAAATGGAGAATTGAGTATAAACTTTAACAGAATATTGTTGGGAGGTTAGTGAGCCTGTTGATCTCTGTTTTCTTTTAAGGGGAGCTCCAGGTTGTCTGTATGCTTCTCTGTTAGGACAGCAAGGGATAATTCACAATGAATCCTCCAGTTCAAATTTTGTTAAGCTCACTTTCAAAAAAAAAAAAAAAAAGAATTACAGGTGAAGAGCTATTTAGGCCAGGTTTTGCCAGCAAATTTTCCAAAGCACCAATTCCAGAGGCTCAAAGAAAAAACAAACCTGAAATCTAGGTCTCACTTCCTTCTCATGGAATTCTGTTTTCATTCATTTTTTTTTTTGGAGGAAACAGGCTCTGGAGAGGTTCTGCTGGATACCTAATGAACTTAGTCTCTCCAGGGAGAGAGAGTAAGACCAGCTCTCCCCCCACACCCCACTTATCTTCTGCCAACCAGTCTGGACTGGGCAACCTGTCATGTGTAGGTTCCTTCCTAACTGCCTGGGTCAGCACCCAGTCCTGCATGACCCAACAAAGCCCAGCTCTTCTCTCCAGATACTGGGATCAGCTCACAGGAAGCACAGCTGGGTGATTGCCAATTAGGCCAGCTCTGAGCAGGCTGCCCAGGCTGCTGGAGTGGAGGCTCACTCACCCTCTTCTCTAATTCAGTTTGTTTTCCTCTGCAGCAAAGGACCTTCTCCCCAGTGATCTAGGCAATTCTTAGGTATTTGAAATCAGAAAAAAATTCCTAGATTTACTAGGACTTGCTCTCCTCTCAATTTCTACAGTTCTATTAATAATTTTAACTAGTCTCATAATTCCGTAACAAAGTCTGCTAGGGTTAAAACAGTACAAATTCTCAAATTCTTCAATTTTGCTTATTTCTAGCAGCTTTGTTAAAATATTTGTGATATCATTACAGGGACATAGAGACAAAAATAGGTTTGTGGGGCAGAGTTTTAGTTGGGATGCACTGTCTAATCTTCTGCATTCTAGAGGTGATAGCCACTGCTAGAAAAGTCGCCTTTACTTCTATTAAAGAGATAAAGTTTCCTCTACTTGCCCTATTTGACTGTATTAGATTTCACAAAATGCTAACTACAAAGGCAATTAAATATAAGTAATAGTAAGATGTAAAAAGAAAAATCATTCTGTAATCTTGATTGTAAAAGTGTGTGCTGAGGATTAAATGGGTAAAAAAATTAATCCAAATACTGTACATAACTTTATTGATTCTGTTGCCCATGTGTGGCCTCATTCCCTTTACAGTTTTCCATATTTGAATTTTGTAACAGGTTATGAATGTTATATGTTTACCAAGAATTATGTTCCCTTAAATGTAGTTGAATCTATTGTCATTTAATTTTCTTGAAATATTCAACTATTTCTGCAGTGTATGTAATTTATTCTCTCACCTATCTTGATTTTTCTTACCTTTTACATTACATTTCACTTTTGCTTAAAGTGTTTAACCAGCGTCCCCAAGTTGACTCTAAATAACATATGAGCTATTTGCAAGTGCTTTGCACCTTTAGGATAATGAATGAATAGCTTCTGTCCATACACCACAGCGACACACACACACACACACACACACACACACAAACACACACACACACACACAAAAAAAATGCTGCCTAGCTGATTGTCATTGCTGATTTAAAGGCAGAAACTAAAACCATTACCTACTTGACAGTTTGATAGTGTTAAAGAAAGTCCTTAATGCTTATTACTTCTCCTGAACTTTTATAATTGAACTTGTTAAAGTACTGTTTACATCTTTCTTAGAATTGTTTTTCTAACATTTGGAAAAATGTAAGAACTTCTTTCTATGTATGCATTGTTTTTCTCCCTTCAACTTGCTTTTAAATTATAAACCGAACTCTCTTAATTTTTTTTTGTATTTGTAGATGGACACAATACCTTTATTTTATTTAGTTTTATGCAGTACTGAGGATCAAATTCAGTGCCTCACACATACTAGGCAAGTGCTCTACCACTGAGCTACAGCCACAGCCCCACAGCAGATTTTTAATGTAACTGGCAAGCATGAGAGTGTAATGCTCACAGCACCCCATTAACTTGAACTTTATTTCTTCAAAAATTGTGTTTGTTTATTTGGCAGCACATATGCCTTATTGTTGTTGAATTTGGTATCTCTTTAGTTTACTTAATAGTTGAAGCTTTTTTTCAAATTGTCTATTTATGTGTGTTCTCATAAATACCTGGTCTTATTGTTTTTGCTTATTAGCAAAAATTGTGTGGCCTTGAAATAAAATATTTGCCATTTGCTGAAAGTATATTTTACCTAGTGGCTATTTAATTTTGGTTATGAAGTTATTTTAATTTGAAAAAAATTTTATATTTTTATGTTTTATAATATGTCCATTTTTACTCTTTTAAATTTGTCATTTCATCTAGAACTATGATGAGTATTTGATTCTTTTTTTTTTTTAAGTTTCCATAGATTGTTATTTTTTCAAGTGTGAACTCTGGTCCACCTAAGTGCTGATTTCAGGATGCCAATCAGACTCTGATGCAGCTCAGGAATCTGCATATTAAACCAGCCCCCCAGAGGGATCTTAATGCTGATTCATGTTTGATAAATTCTGTTATGGCTTATATTTTTAAAGAAATTACTTACAACACAGCCCCTCTCACCTATCACACATACACACCCACAAGGTGTAGAGCCATACCACTCAAGGTTTTAAGCCTTGAAGTGCTTCCCTACATTCTCTTGCCTGCATTATCCAGAATGTCACTAAGTCCTGTTGATTCATTCTTCTAAATATCTATAACGTATACCATTTTATTTTTCATTGTATACTCCCACCATCGCAGTCCAGAGCTACTGTGGATTAGTGTTGCATTACCCATTTCTTATTCCTGTCTTCTTTCCATTCTCTGCTGCATGCAGTTTTCCTAAAGTACCATTTCCATCTCCAGTCTTGCACTCATTCTGAAATAGCCCTGTATTATCTGCCACACCATAGACATTGACTCTCAAGGCCCATATTCTTAAACCTCGAATTGTGTCCTAGTGTCACTATAACACTAAGTGTCACCAAGCACTTAATGGCTTAAACCAAGATGCCTTTATTATTTCACTCCAAATGGGTTGATAGGACTACATTCCTTCTGGGGGCCTTTAGGAGAGAACCAGTTTTGCCTTTTCCAGCTTTGAGAAGCTGCCTACCTTCCTTGGTTCATGGTCCTCTTTCATCTTCAAAGCCAGCAATCACGTTCCTCCAGCTTCTGCTTCCACCATAACATCTGCAGTCACATCTCCTCTCTTTGATTTTGACACACCTGCCTCCCCCTGTGGTAGCACTGAGCCCAGTAACCCAGGAAAGGCATCCTACTTCAAGATCCTTTGTTTAAATCTCCTCTATAAAGCTCCCTTTTCCATATAAGGGAATATATTTTTAGATCCTAGGGTTTAGGGATTCTTACACATCATTGAGGAAACCATTATTCTGTCTTCCTCAAACTGTTTTCTGGGCTGGCCTTATTTCTCACTGCTCCTCCTAAGAAAATATCGACCGAGCCACTCTGTCTCTCCCTCCACCCAGGTATCTGCTGTGAAAATCACCACCTTTCTCTCTTGTCAGGCTGAACATCCTTCTGTGTTCTGACCATTCCAACCAATCCAAGATGTGTCATTTCTCCTTCTTCCATGCCAGCTTCCTTGGTTCCCTAATGTCTTTGTCCTGGAATCTCTTCCATTTAGAATAGAAATTTCTACTTAAGCACTCAAAACATCTAAGATAATTAAAACTTAGTCATTCCTAAATTTTGTCAAATTAGAAGATAATTTTTTTTAAAGGAGGGACCAAGCCTTATCTTTTGTATCTTTCTTGCTGTTAGAGTGTTGGGTACATATTAGGCATTGAATGAATATTTGGCAAATGGGATATTTGGAGAACTCCC